GGGGTTTGGGGTTTAGGAATTCAGGGAAGACGACTGCCAAGAATGATCAATGCTTCAGCTTTCCGCTGGCTCTCTAAACCTGGCTGACATTTTATCAATCTCTACATATGTCGAAGCAGTTTGAATGACCTGCTTCTTAAAACACAAGATATAGAAGCGTAAATCAACTCTAGCTCTCTATTTCCATGCCGTTCGGGCTCCTTTCTGGTTCAGGTTTGAGTGCTGCTTCGGCCTTGGGTCTCTGGCTTCCAGTAATTTTTTAGGGCTTCTTATTGTACTTTAGTCATCATATGTCCCAAAATCCCTATTCTAGTTATGAACTCTCCTAGAAGCCGCCTCGAGGCGCGACACAGCACACTTCAACCTGAAAACCTCCACCTTCCCTGAGCTCCCTCAGGAGCCTCCCCCCGCCGCACCTCCACAGGCCATGGAAGTTCTTCGACATTTTTGAGGGTTCAGGAATTAGGGGTGTAGGGTTTAGGGTTACGGGTTTAGGCTCTGGGCTTTGGGAAGTTCAGGTTGCTTTGGGGGATGAGTCATTGAGGTTCAGAGTGAAGGAGTTTGGGGCATGCTTGGCTGGCCCAAGCCGTCACTAACCCGAAGCCCTGGCGGTTTGGGTTTTAGGCCGAAGAGTTCTGCTGAAAAGTTTCAGAAATACGGCCAAGGGCTCCAGTGGCCTCCATCATGTCGCTGGTTCATACTGCAATCAAGAGAGTCCGCTGGGCAGTTCATGAAATCAGAGCTATGATGAAACTGAACCCTTAAACTCTCAAGCCACAAACCGCAAAAAAACAAAAACTAATCTAGCTATATTCCAATCGAAAAGTCTTAAACCCAAAAGCCCAAGCTCAAAGCCTACATCCGATCCAGATTCCCTGCTTGTCATGCAGGCAGCACCTGCCCAGCCCAAGGCGAAGGCTCCTTTTGTGAGATTTTGCATGAAGGCTTTGGGTGTAGGGTCTGGGGTTTAGGGGTTTTGGGGCTTGAAGTTTACGGTTTCGGGTTAAATGGTCTTGTGATTGTTGAGGGGTTTTGGGGTTCTTGGTTGTGTGGGGTTTGCAGGTGTTCAGGGTTGAGGGCTTAGGGTCCTCACTCATAAAAACTGAGGACGGAGGCAAACGAGGCAAACTTAAAGAGTCGACCGATGTTGAGTGCGTTCGATTTCGGGACCTTATGTAAGTGACTCGCAACAATGCCAAGATGCTTCCAGAGCTGTTCCTAGTAGCAGAGTAGATAACCTGTAACGTTTTGGCGGCACTGTAATCCTTACATATTCCCAATTAACC